CAATAATGGTAAATTGTGCTAATTAAGCTCGTGCAAGATTACGAGTTACAGCAATACGCTAGGAAATATATGAAATGAATATCAGTACCACGAAGGTGAGTGATTAGTGGTCATAATAAGCTGAGGAACAGATACACTTGCTTCTTTATTGGTGGCAAATTTTGATGAAAAAAATTGGTTAAAAATGCGGGAATCGGGTGTGTTACTCTTGTGTTATTATCTACTCTTGATATCAGGAGTTAATAATGACAAAGGAGTAAGACACCTCTTTGGTACTGATTTCACTACATTTTTGTCGTACGAGTTCGATGTGAATAAAAATACAAATGTATACAAACATGAGCTTCTATTGTTCACTGGTCGTTATTCTATCTTCCGGTAGTATTACAAACCGCGTAGCTTCTTTCGTTTTGACATAAATCGTACTTTTCCACGACATGGTTTTCACGTCATTTACTGTTGCGTGGCGATGGCAAGCGGTAAATTCGCACACACAGGCTGACACAGCTACTTGAAGGAGGCACAGCAGGGATCGCCTCAGGCAGCGCCAGCGGCAACTGTACGCGGCCTAGAGCTAACGGTTGCTATGCAAAACACATGTGCGAAAAGCTACAATCGGCTGGAGCGTCAGTTTACTCATAACGATTCATACACATCATTCCTCCGCGGGTGAAGTAGTTCAGATATTTTACCAGCGCAGCGTTTATTTAAAAAAAACTGCGGGATTCAACCATAAAAACAAGGCATTTTATAACTATAGTTTAAATGTAAAATAGTTTTAATTTTTAAACCCAGCATAGGTGCAACGTAACTTAATTTCTAGGCGAATTTTCTGCACTCGACTAGGCTACGGCCGAAAAGCCCTGGCGCGCCTCGATGCAGCTCTGTGTGTGCGAATTTACAGCTTGGCATCGCCACGCAACCGTAAATGACGTGAAAACCATGTCGTGGAAAAGTACGATTTATGTCAAAACGAAGGAAGCTACGCGGTTGGTAATACTACCGGAAGATAGAATATGGACCAATGAACAAAAGAAGCTCATGTTTGTATACATTTGTATTTTTATTCACATCGAACTCGTACGACAAAAATGTAGTGAAATCAGTACCAAAGAGGTGTCTTACTCCTTTGTCATTATTAACTCCTGATACATATATGTATGTTCATACAGACATTGTCTAATGCAGTGATGTGTTTGTGTTTCAGGTGTGTTATGATGTAGAGTTCTGTTATTCATCGAACCATAATTGTGATATATGAGGTATGGGATCAAGCTGGACTTCCTACATGCTGCTACATTAGACAAGGACTGTGACTGCTTTATAGAAGAAAACAAGGTATGTGATGTTGGCTACCAAACAAAGAGTTGAAGAACATTTTTACAATGATCTTCCATTGTGGGTGTTCCCAAGTTGTTTTGCCTTGACTGACATAGTGGGGCAGAGCTTGTAGCATTACAATGGTATCCACCAATGGACCTATGTATCTGTGAGCATATACTTCAGCAACAGTAACAGAAATAATAACCATAATTTCCTTTCAGTATTTGTACTTCCTGTGTTGGGGACTCTAGACTTAAACTGTACCACTATCTAGGGCTGAAATTATTGCCTATTTCATGATACAATATGTGCAATAGTTCAAGGAAATAGAATAAGAATTTACAAGCCACGTAGTGATTGGACATTGAACATTTTCAAATCTGCATGCTCCATTTATCACATGAAAACAAGCACAGTGCATCCAACTGACATTTTCACAACCTGACAAAGGTATCGAGTGGATTAACTTAGTTACGGTCAGACTCTGGCATATTGTGACATATCGATACTCATATGACGCTATAGTATGAATTGTATTATAGACATCCTATGGCAATTAGTCACAGTTAATCGTATGGTGCACCACTACCACTATGGCAGCTGTAACAGTGTCGTTACTTTTTAGCTCGGCTGATGAAGTCAGATGCAGCTTGTAGAATCGCATGATTGTCCGTCCGTGCGTCCATCCGTCAACAGTTGGGCACAAATCTTAACCGCTCGACGTACAGTCTTGATATTCGGGACGTCGGGGGGGATCGCGAAAAGGACTTGGGATGTCGAATTTGGGGGTCAAGGGTCAAAGGTCAAGATGTGTCAATGGAGGGGGAATATTTCCACCTTAACTTAAGGTATAGGAGGAAATACAGAATTGCGGCACAAATCTCAACGGCTCGACCTACACTCTTAATATAACGGTCTAACGGACCGAGTGCAAAACTTTTTTGTTTTAGCGCTGACCTACCGTTTTTATCACTTTATTGAAAGGACCATGAAATCTACTTTCCGCTGACGTGCGAAGAGTAAGTGTCTGATAACCTTTTGACCCTTAAGAGGAGGGTTAAACATGGATTTGTTGACTGTTAACAAAGGACTGAACTGCTTTTGCTATTAGAGCCCCCTCCACCTGCCCCTCCCCCCGCCCTCCCCCTTACCCTCCCCCACCACCACCACTACGCTCGCGCTCGACACATAACCATGATAACATGTTAAAAGATAGCGAAGTCATTAAAGTTACACAGCTGTATCTTTATTACTGTACTACCAGTAGGTATAGCAAAGCCTATCAGTATCATAGATTTTAGATCTGTATTAGTAGTATCCTAGATATATGTTCTGAGCGCGAACGCGGTGGCAGGAGGGCGCACTTGATTCAATTGCCAGTGAGTTTATCAGAAGAATACCTGGCTACAGTACACGTCAGTTGAGCGCTGTCGCTCTGCGGCACTTGTTTAATCAAGTACATTTGGTTGCCTATAAGTAGTGCAAATAACAGTAGTAGGGGGAGCAAAGGAAGCTCCAGCATGAATAACATCAGTATAGCAGCAGAGTAGCAGCTGTTAGATAAATGCTGTCACTTTGTGTTACTGGTTTAATTTTTCTGCATATTTCTTTAAAGCATCTGCTGAAAAGCTAGTTATCTTACAAGTTAGTACTGTAGCTTACAGTTAGTATATATCAAAGATCATAAAATACATATATAGATCTTAATCCACATATAGAGGGGGTTTAGTGACTACTTTAACCATTTTATCTACTGATATGTCAACGAGTCTTATTGTTTTGGGTGTGAATTAATTAGTGGAAGTAGTTAAATAACGTATACAACCAATGCTGCAATGACACAGGTTCGAGTGGAGAACTCCGAGTGTGCGTATGCGCGTGCAAGCGTGAGTGCGTGCGTATGTTTCTATAAAGTATGTATAAAACTATAAAACTCTAGACTTTGTGTCACCGAGACAGAATTATGCATCTCAGACTCACATTATTGGCACATCTTGAAAACGATGAAAAGCACGAATATTTGTTCGAGAATAAATGTCAATGAATTCGTCTATGAGCAGTGGGATTGGAATGTTGCATTGCCAAATGATTTGGTCATTTTTACTTCCTTCTCGCGTTTGTGATGGGAATTCTGTATAATGATGCAGGGTTTCAACTATACGTGTTCCTAAGTGCATGGCTTGTGGATGTTTTATTATTTTCCGAACTCGTCCGATTTAAAATAGTTGAGAATTAGTTTTAACAAGTTCTTTCTATACGTCACGTTGGCATATTTCTACAACCTTATACTATAGTCGTCTCGATTCACGTAGTAAGTCATGCGTGAAATTACTACCGGCAACTTGTCACGGCGAGTACGCGCCGTATTGCTTTCCAGCGAGCGTAGATTCACCTGTTGGAGTTCTTGCACCGGCGGGCAAATAAAGCCGAGGTTTATACTTCCACTGTCTAAGGTCGTGTGTTGTCAGACATTGTCCTAGATGCAGTCACGTGTGACTACGTGCTGCCGGTGCGTGTCCGTGTGCGGCTGAGCGAGAGCCGAGAGCCGACCGTGTGAGCTTTTTGCACTGCTTTCTCAGAGCAGCGTTCGCTTGCGTCACATGCCGACGTTACCGATGTTATAGTGAAACTTTGTTGCTTGTGCAGACGCGTCAGCGGCGCCCGCGACGCGTTACTATAGTGAAGGGAATGGCATAATAACGTCGCCGTCTTTGTATATAACGTGGTTCGGCAACTATATATCTCGTGTGAGTGTGTAATCGCACGTATGGTTATGTCCGTTTCTCGTGGTTTTTGGATACGTGGCGGTGAGAAGGGGGAAATGGAGCAATCGTAAATTATGAGTATATAATCGCACATCCGAGCTCAGCTTTGCAACAGGTATTGAAAGTGTTTGTTTTTATGCCGACGCTGAATGTATTTTGAGGTAAGCCGAATCTATAAGCGCGTCTGCGTGTGATATGCGACTTAATTACAACATATCTCTGTGTCGCAGTACTACATACTCATAATCGTTACGATCAACCTAATTGTGTGACCCGGCCGTAGTCTAACCCGTGCTGAACTTTATTTCTAGTTTGTACTTCTATTATGCCCGTTTATCTGAACAGATGATCCAATTATTTTTTAAAGTGAATGTATATAAACAACATCGTAATTCATATTTGTTTTGGGGGTAGGCGTGTATTTGCTCACTCAAATGTATAAATCAGCTTGTCCCTAACCCCAAGTTATTCAGAGAAGTTGAGTGCATCGTAGGTAGGCATTTTCCGAACAACTAATACCAACTACCAAATGTTGCTACTTGTATTTATGATATTAGACATTTATATGCTGTTCTGGCCGGTCATATAAGTGCTCTACAGTTCTGTAGAATCATAATAGTAGTATGGGCAGCACACCAAGGTTTATGGCCTGCAGTAGGTTTGCATACTCGTAGCCTTTGGGCATAAGCTGCGTTGCTATATAACTCACGGTTATTGGAATGCAATTTGGCTAAAAGTGTGTTAGCACTATATTAAGAACGCTGTGGCTATCAGCCGGGACCCTAACCCTCCTGTTTACTTGAGAAATCACCGAAAATTAAACCCGCAATATGCGCATCCAAACGTTAATTTCTCCAGTACTAGACTAGCAAATACTTCGTGTCATGCATAATCATACTACCTTATGACAAAATAAACTCTAGTTCCTCCCATTTCACTGCGCGTTGTCTTCTAAAAGGGATTTGAAAATACTTCCAATGTTGTTCAAATTCTCCGATGTTGTTGACACGTTCGCGTTGCTCTGCCAAGTAACCGTACAGCGGGTGCAACCTGTAGCAACATGTGATGTCACCTAACCGATTCTGGGCTAAATTGTTTAGCAAACAATTCGGCGTTGGCGCCAGATTTCCAGATTTCGCACCTCTTTCTTGTGGGTTTTAAGCAAACGCGCAGTGAAATGGGAGGAACTAGAGTTTATTTTGTCATAAGGTAGTGTGATTATGCATGACACGAAGTATTTGCTAGTCTAGTACTGGAGAAACTAGCGTTTGGATGCGCATATATATTGCGGCTTTAAAAACTGCCGGGCATTTAGGAAATCGAAGACCGTGCCCGGCAGCCGTCGGATATTTTCTAAGTGTCGATTGCGAGTTCGTTCGCTCAGTGATCCGAAGCTAGGCGAATTGGGCTAGTTCGAATATACAGCTCTAACGAAAATCGCTTGACATCTAAACAAATGTAGAATACTTTGGATCACGTAGTACACTGTTTACTTAAGAAATGGCCGAAAATTAAAAACTGCCGGGCATTTAGGAAATCGAAGACCGTGCTGCCGGGCATATAGCCACTTCGTATTAAGAATGCCTGGCTGAACACACAGTGGGGGAAATTTCTAAATTTGAAGAGGAAGTGAATGAGCGATGAGTTCCGTCACGATACTATCGGCCGCCGGTTCCAACAACGTCAGTTTTACGACTTGGTGGTAATGGCTGCTGGAGGGAGCATCGTTAACATCCAATAAACAAATTAAGCTGTAAACCGATTTCGAGGCCTGACCTTGCGGATGTGGTTCTCAACTTTTCTTCTATCGGGGGATATATTGAGATTTGTGCTAGGCAATCCTGTAGTTATCTCTATATTTGATATATTATATACTATATAGCCACTAGTTGAGTGCATCTGGGCATATCTGGGTTTCGCCTAAAAATTAATTTATCTGGGACGCCTAAACGATAAGAGTGCTGCCCGAGCAGGTGAAGTACACGTGAACTTGCTAACCACTTGTGCAAAGATCTACTCCTGATATAAGTGCAACTCTGGTAGCAACTATTACAACGAGACAAAAGAAAACTTGAATCACCAATGTTTGCAACACTTATACATAATTATGCTAACTGTTTATGAACTGGTTATGGTAACTGGTTATGTTATAATGTAAGTACGTTTCGTTCTTGTGCCCAATTGGCAGTATTAACAGATCAGTGTAGTTGCTGGTAATTGCATTGTTTGTGGTTCCCTCCGTGGTGGGAA